TGAGTTCTTGAGAACAAATGCAGAGAGGAAGGTGGTCAGTTGTTAATGAAAATACCCCTGGGCAGATGGTAGCACCAACCCTGACAGAGCAGTGGAGTTCATAAAGAATGAAATGAGGTGTGTAACTTTGCCTCCTGTGTTGTAAGCCCTAGCGATGATGGCTTGGGGAACACCTGCAGAGGGGTGCACTTGCATAAGGAATAGGCTATCATGCAGTGCTGTTTGCTAGGATAGATATTTGCATATATGAATATGTTTAATGGGGATTCATAAACATTTATCTTCGGCTTGAAATCTCACATAGGTGAAGATAATAGTAGCAGCACCAGCTGTAGAAACAAATCTGAAAATCAGGCAGCCCAGTTAGAACTCAGATTTTTTAAAATGTCATTAAGATAAAGCAAAATGAAATGAACTTTAAAGGACTAAAGGATTCAGATCTGTTAAGGGCCCCAAATGGCAAGTAATTCAAGGGAAATCCTATTAATTAAAAACCAGCGCTCTGTGAAATGGCTGCCGTCACGTGCGAAGGTAAAGAGCCCGCTCGCAGTACCTGCGTGAGACACAGATGAGTACTGGAAGCAGCTGCCATCTATCAAGGGCAGGCTGCTGTTGCTGCTTCCCGAAATATTTTGGGCCTCAACACTGTACGCAACAGCTACCAATCACTTAATCACATGCTAAAAATGTCTGCTTGTGTCCTTTAAGCATCACGGTCCTCAGTTACCTGGTACCGACCCCACTGCAAAGTCACCACGGGGCGCTGACTTGGAGAGTCCCTGACAGCAGTCTGACAGCTCTTCACGTGTCCAGGCCGTGTGGTCCAGGTTTATCCACACTTCAGACTGCGCCTCTGCTCTCCGGCTCTGGCCTCAATTCGAAAAGCTCAATTCTGTTGTCTATTTTATTTCAGTGTCCCGTTGTCCCCTGGCAGCAGGTCCTCCCTGCTGAGGGACCCCTGGCCGACCACCGGCTCCCAGGGCAGACATCCCTGTGCAAGGGGCTGACGGGCATGTTTTCTGTCTTCTGTCAACATAAAGCCACATCAGACCAACTGACAGCAGTTATAACCTGAAATATATTCCACCTCCGTGGTCTCTAGGGAATGACATCCTTTCTTTTCAGAATGGCCTGAAAGTAGCACAAATGGCTTAGTTTGATGCACTATTACAAAGACATCTCAAAGTCTCTCAACTGGTTTACCCAGACGAGTTCCTTAATATATGCTCTGAGGCCTGGTTCTCTCCTAGGTAAAAAGGGAATATTAGTAAAAATGAACACATTAGTAAAAAGGAACAATGTTCCTTTTGTGCCAAGGCCTTGGGCTAAGCACTTTCTAGGGACTGTGGGGTGAGTTCTCAGGGAAGCCCTGTTGCGGCAGGTGCCAGGTCCCCGGGCTGTGGAGTGGTAGAGCAAGGGTACCCCCCCCTCCACGCTCTGACCACTGCGGCCCGCTGCTCCCTCACAGTGCCCACCCCCCCAACAACGAAAGCTGCTGCTGTGAGTCAGGGGTCCCATCACCTGGGGGAGTGCTCTGAGGGACGTGAAGGGAGAAGGCTAAGGGAACGTGAGAGGGTGGCCCTGAGTGGGGGGCAGAGGGAAGGCTGGAGGAGGGCCTGGAGGTGCCTGTGCAGGCCAGGTGTGATGGGCTTGCGTGCAGGTGCCCAACCCCACACTCTGCCCCTGGCCAGGCCGTTAGATCACCAGAGTCTTTGCCTGCGTTTTTCAAAAACAGATGTCACCTGCAGTAGCCTAACCAACACTTAACTTGCATCTTTTAACACTCCTATTCATTTGTTGTTTAATATACCTGTGCCGATCTATTTCCTTTCGTAAATAGACTGGCGATAAAAACGTTCTCCAGGGGCTGGGAGTGAGCTGGGCACACAGCCACAGCGATGACATTTGTGTGTTCAGGTGAAGGAGGCTACACCTGCCACCTGCTGGCCACATGCCTAATATGGACAGTCGCAGTGATCTTGTGGATGTCGTGGGTTTTCTTTCCTCTTCAACCACATTCAGTTGTTCAGCTGTGAATTTCAGCCCCTCCCTAGGCTCTCTAAGAGGCCATTCTGATATGTTCTGCATTAAAAATGGAGTTCTTTGTGAATGTTGAACCAGACTTGAAGAACGCAGTGAAAAGGAACAAGCCCTGTGCTTGGGGGTTGAGTCTCAGGGATCTGCCCGTGGCCGGCAGAACAAAGCAGGGAGCCCACATTCTCAGCCGGCACCGAGGCTGCTTCCTCACCGTGGACCTGTGTGTCTGTTGGGGTTTGGGGTGGGGTGTGGCCATGATTGTCTGTCCCAGCTCCATGATCCCGTGTTTTGGGAATAGCATCACCCAGGGTTGCTGTGGGAATATGTGTATTAGCTGTTCAGTTCCATGTTTCCATTGCCACTTTCTCATATTTTGACATATTCTGACGTTCAGTTGGATTTGAACTCTTACTCAGCCAGAAATACAATGAATTCATTTTTTTAAAATGTAAGAGAGGTGCATTCAGTGATAGAGTGATTATTATTCACAAAGCAAGGTGGATCCCTGACTGCTTTTCTTCCAGAAATGGTGAGGGGGTAGGTGAGCCCCATGATGGAAAGGGGTGGCGTGTCCAGGATCGAGGAGTGTGAGGGGCAGTATGTGATCCAAACGGACATGTGTTTGTGTGGACACATCTAGCATATGCTTAAAATAGACGGAAATAAGCTGCACTCCCTTCCTTGGAAGAGAACCTCACACAATGTTTCTGCTGTAGAGGTGACTTTCAGCAATGCCAGCCTCGTGTGGTGACCGAGTCACCCGGCTGGTTTGCAGCCAAGCTGAGGTCCCTTACTTTGGGGCGTGCTGCGCTTTCTTGCTCTGGTCAGCAGTGACCTTCAAGTCTGTGCACCTATTATCCATATAAAGATCAAACTTCCCAGTCCCATGACTTCCTTCTGACAGCAAGGGGGTTGTTAACTATGACAGTATGTGTCCTTTCTCCTCCCCGTTTCCCGCCCACCAACAGGACCACCCACACTTAGAGCACCCAGTGAGTGCTTGCTGGGCAGTCCTTGAGATTAAACCAAATTGCAGTGGTGGTTTACCCCGAAACAAAGCGTGAGGGGTGGAGGCAAGAAACTGTATCCTTCTCTGGTCTTTTTCATCAGAAAGGCATTTGTGCCTTTTGGTAGGAAAATAGTCTTGGGGAAGCTGCCTCAACCCAGCCAACAGACTGGTACTGTGCACGATGCCATCACTGTGCTCACCACTGGGGACCCAAAGACAAAGAAAACACAGCCCCTTCCCTAGGTTATTCCCAAACGATGAATGCTCTAACGAATCACCGAGAGATCCCTTCTCTTTGAAGGCAAGCGATGTGTTTGTGAAGTTAAGGAAATGAATGGCATGCCAGATGTACAGGGTAATTGGGGGTGAAGCTCCAGTCAGCTGATGTTTTGTTGGTTTGCTTGGGGTTTAAGTACTGAAGGAATGTACCTCCCGATACTGGGAGACTAGCAAGAGCCTGTGAGGAAGCAGATTTGGTGTCCTAATGGCAAAGCCTTAAATGGGACACCAAAATGACTTAGAGATTTCTCACTTGTGTTCTCTAGAACAAGTTGTTTTTGTGCTTGATGAAATGCAGGGAGCACATTTATTTTGTAGACTTATGGAATCTAAGGCAGGACTGGACCTTAGAGATTGCTCAGCAAAACCCTTCACTTGACATATGAAGAAATGGCAGTGGGAGGAATTAAGTGACTTACCCCTAGTTCACTCGAAGTGTCTGAAATGACTTATACAAATATTCAGAGGCATGTATTGATGATAGGCCTGTAATTGGCTTTTAAAGGTCAGTAGTCACATTTTAGGGGACAGTCTTTGGAAGTCGGCTTCAAGGAAGACAGTGAGGCCTTTGCACAGACGCCTAGAGCCCCAGGGTCCCTCCAAAGTGGGGCATTCCCTGCTCCCTGGCAGAGTGGCTTTGCTTATGCAATGTGCTTTTATAGAATATGCTTCTGAGTGAGACTGCTTTTGAAATTAATTAATGTGAAAACTACTCTTCTCTAAAGAAACAATATGGCAGTGCTAAAAAGAATACAATTTTATCGTCATCACAAATAATGAGACCTGAATTTGTGTTTCTTTTTTTATTATTATTATTTTTAACTTTTATGGACCCAAAAGTATGCATCCCCACTGCCTCTGCCAGGACAAATCTAAGGGACCCAGATGGGCTGGGAGTTGTCTTCATGGGTTTTTCAGAAAGTTCCTTCCTGTGTGGCTTTCTGCACTCGGCAGGTTCTTGGGGACGATGTCTTCTCCAACTCCTTGAGGGATGGAAGGCCTCAGCATCTGTTGCTCACCACGCCAGCTATTGTTTTATGGCTCTCAGCAGTGCTACTTGTTCCCTAATTCTCTTTACCGTGAAGGCCCCCCCCCCAGGCAGGTGCCAGGGCACAGCACAACACCTGGAACGTGAAAAACATTGAACAAGTAATTACGGAATTAAAACTACCCCGGAAAAGGCCCCTACTTGGTTCTGTTTTTTTAAAACAGCATCTCTTTTTTTTTTTATTGCTATATCATAGTTGTACAGATTTGGGGGGTACATATGATATTTTGATACATGTATGCAATGTATAATGGTCAATTCAGGGTAATCAGGATATCCAGCACCTCAAAAATTTATCTTTTGTTTGTGTTGGGAACATGATAGTTCTTCTCTTCTACCTATTTTGAAATATACAATAAATTATTGTTAAGTATAATTTCCCTAATGCAGCATCTTCTGGAGACTGCCCATCTTAGCCTATGACTGTTGTGAGGGTTAATTTTAAGATGTGACTGTCTGCTATTTCCTAAGTGCATCAGAGGAAAAGTGCATAAAAGGGAAAGAAAAAAAAAGTTAGGAAATCAAATAGACTTACGACTGAAATGTTGCTCTAACAAAGGTGATATTTTTTTTGCTGAATTATTTTGAATCCTCTAAGTCTCTGTACCTCTTTGTTCCTCTTTTCAGAATGCTAGAAGATGACCTTAAGCTAAGTAGTGATGAAGAAGAGAATGAACAGGTAAGATTCTCTTTTATGTTGCCATCCTTTGGATGTGATACAGGTAGCACTGACCCAGTGTACTGTGCTGGGTGTTACCTGAGCTGAAGTGTGGTCCCTCGAGGATGCCGGGCCTTCTTCTGCTAATTATGAGCCTCTATGCAATTGGGCCAGTCCATTGAAGTATCTTAACCTTAATTTCCCTTAAAATTTTAATTCTGTGATCTTTATGACATTGAGACCAACAATGGGTATTACAAGGAAACTGACTAGGATCAGGCTTCGCTGTGAAATACAGCCTTTTTTCTTTTCTTTTTGGCAAAGCTAAATGGCCTTCTGCAGATCAAACATGTGACCTTAACCTCATCAGCATGCAACATGCAAGCTGTAACATTAAATATTGAGCAGTCTTATACAGATATTATTAACATTGAGAAGGAGCAAACGTAGAGGTGAGCTCAAATGATGAATAAAAAATAATCATGCTGTTTGTCTTAAATGATAAATGTGCTTGAAATATTCTCCCTTGGTGTTGATTTATCAGCTCAGAGACATCAGTCAGGGGGTTATAAATACTCTTCTGATGAGTCAGTTAAGGTGAAAAAATATCCACTTAACATTCATCACTTTCACTTCTGTATTTCAGGAAATGTTTGTATTTCAAAGCAAGTTTAAAAACACTAAAGACAGATTTTCCTGAAACGTTTCTGTTTCTTTTTTCTCATCATCTGTATTGTATTTTGTCAAGTTTGGATAAATAGGATGGGTAGAAAGACAATTCAGACCGGGTTTTTTTAATAAGTCATTTTCGTATGCAGTGCAAAATACTTTTGCTATTCAGTAGATTTTGGAATAGTGAACTTAATACAAAGGTATCTTGAAATGCTACACAGATGATTCTCTGTCTAGACGTGCAAATACAGATAATGTATAGAGAGAATAGGCAGAGGTGAAATAAAAGTCAAAGGACAATTTCAAGGAAGAGCGTCTGAGCAGAGCATGGCTGTGAGGTCACAGAAGAGGTTGCTTGCCTTGTGAGAGAAACTGAGGCACTAAAGACCGGAGAAGAGCTTGAGGAGTCTGGAAACAAGATTGGCAAGCAGAGGAAACCCAGTGAAGGAAGGTTAACTGTGCAAGAAAAGCCACTCAGGCTTTGAGTTTTTTTAGAGATTAATTTGTTTCTTGATATACACATCAGGGCAGTCAGATATCCACAAAACGGCAATCTCAGCAGAAATATAGAATGGCTTCACTCCTAATTTTGGTTCCTCATCAGCGTGACTATAAACAAATGACTTCATCTCTTTGTGTTTTTCCCCATTGAGCAGCTAAAATAGGTACATTATAGATTAAGTCATATCAAACATACAAATTCTGATACTTTATATTAGAAAAAGGATTCACAGACTATTTCAATCTATGAACCTTTCTTAATTTGGAAATAACTTCGTGAACCATTTCCAGGAAACACTTCCAATGAAAACTAAATTAAAAAAACTCATTATTAGTGATACATGTTCTCTAAGGCAGTGAGAACTTCTTTTTTAGTTGACTCATTTTGCTTTATTAGCTACTGCCAGTCTGTACCCATTGATAATATTGTATTATGAATATACAGGTCATATATTTCATTCTTACATTTAATCCCTATGTGTGTACACCTTCCTATTTTTCCAATAAAAGGAACTGACAGAATAACTAATTTTTATTCAGTAATCCCTTTTTCCTAATGAAGATTCCAAGTAGTGGTTTTTTATATGGGAGTTTAAAACGAGTTGCTTCAACACTAATTATATTAAGTTGTACTGTTTTGGCCTATAATCATACCCTGGTCTAATCATAAAATTATAATTCCCATACTTTAAAAAAAGACTAATGATTTTTTTCTCTTAAGACCAACATATTATTTTCCCCTGAAAGAGTATAGCTTGTGCACACATACACATAGGCACACTTCATTCCTCTGGCATTGTGAAATAATTAAACATTTAGAATAAATAATTTTTCCAGGTATATATTTGATCAGGTCCCATTTATTTATTTTTGTCATTGCTATGATTGCTGTTGCTGTCTTCTTCATTAATTCTTTGCCTAGGTCCATGTCTACAAGACTTTTTTCCAACATTCTCTTCTAGAAGTCTTATGGTTTCATGCCTTAGGTTTAAGTGTATTATCCATCATGAGTTGATTTTTGTGAATAGTGAGAGGTGCAGATCCTATTTCAGTCTTCTACCTGTGCCTATCCAATTTTCCCAGCACCATTTATTAAATAGGGATTCTTTTCTCCAGTGTATGTTTTTGTTTGCTTTGTCAAAGATCAGATGGCTATATGAGGATGGTTTTATATCTGGTTCTCTGTTCTAATCCAGATGTAATCAGACTTTGTCCTTTAAACACAAAATCTTTCCCGGAAAACCCCCTACCTCAATAAACATAATATAGTATGCTAAAATCCTTAACCTTTTCTTACATTGTATCTGGTTATCTTTGTGAATATTGGTTCAATTAGCCTGTGTAGCACTGTAATAAAGAGATATCATAAGAACTTCAAGTTGCTACATCTGTTTGCTCTTCCCCAGACAGCCTCAGACCCTTGTGCATTTCAACACTCCTATCTACCGTGTTTCCCCGAAAATAAGACCTACCCATAAAATAAGCCCTAGCAGGATTTCTAAGCATTTTGCGCAATATAAGCCCTACCCCGAAAATAAGGCCTAGTGATGGGCGTGGCTATGCAGCGTATCTGCACAACCCATGCATTTCGGTGTGGAGCAGTAAGGAAGACAAACAGTCCTTCTCATCTGCCCCATGAGAGCTCTACTGCTCAACATGAGAGATTGGGGCCAATGGTTCTAAAGGAAATAGAATCGCAAGAAATTCAGAATGGAATTCGGGGTTTGGAGAGTTATGATGATGTTCCAGAAGACGATGACTTAATTATATTTAAATAAATGTAGATTGTTGTACCATACTTTAAAAAAAAAACAAAAAAAACACATCCCCTGAAAATAAGCCCTAGGGTGTCTTCTTGAGGAAAAATAAATATAAGACCCTGTCTTTCTTTTCGGGGAAACACAGTAATGTTTCCTTTTCTCCTCATTGCCTTTGTGCTTTTAAAGATTAAGAGACAGTCTAGTTTAGTGGTTAAGAGCACAGCAGCCATGCATCAGGGGTTCAAATGCCCACTGTGTTACTTTGCAACCTTGGCCCAGCCCCTGAACTGCTCTCCGCTTCAATGTCTTCATTTGTAAAATTGGAATCAAGGTTAGATCCCCCAAGCCTGCCTCTTCCTCAGAACTTGAGGTCACCTATCATCTTCATGTTACCAGATCTGTTAGGCATTTTTTGCTTTTATATTATTTGTGGAAATAATAAAAACTTTTATAAATGACAAAAGAATATGTTCAGGATTATCAACTTATAATTGAATGCAACATACATAGAGAAAAGGACACATACCCTAAGTATACAAGTTATTAAATGTTCATAACAACCCCATGTAACCAATACCCAGAGCAAGATACAGATGCAACCAGCCTCCCGGGTGCCTCCATGTCCCCTTCCAGTTACCACTCTCCGAAAGAATAGCCACTTTACTGTTTTCTAACACCGTAGAGTAATATGGCTCATTTTGGAACTTTATATCAGTGGAATTATACAGCATGTATTCTTTTGTATCTGACTACTTTTGCTCAGCATTGTTTGTGGGATTTATGTTGATTCTATTTCATATAATTGAAGTTTGTTCATTTTCATGGCTGTTAGCGTATTGCATTATGTGTCTCCCATAATTTACTCACTTATTCAACTGCTGATGAACATGTGGATATTTGGCTCTATTAAAATAGTACTGTTATTATCATTCCTGTATAGATCTTTTGTTGAACATACAGAACATGTCTGTTGATCTATACCCAGGAATATAAATGCTGGGCAGCAGAGTGTGAGCATGTTCAACTTTAGTAGATTGTCTCCAACCATTTTCCAGAATGATTGTACCAACTGATACTCCCACCAGCAGTGTAAGAGAATTCCTCTTGCTCCACATCCTTCTCATACATTTGCCTTTTTATGTTCATGCGGTATATTGGTCTGAAGTTTTCTATTTTTTACTGTCTTTGTCTAGTTTTGATATCAAGATAATATTGGCCTTATAAAATGAATTAGAAGGTGTCCCTAGCTCTTTTCTTTTCTTGAAGAGATTGTGTAAAAATTGATGTTAATTCTTCTTTGTCAGAATTCTCTGGTGAAACCATACGGGCTGGTGATTTTTAAAACTTAAACAATTTATTTCCTTAATAGTTATAAGGCTATTCAGATTATCTATGTCATACTGGGTGAGTTGTGGTAATACATGCTGTCCAAGTAATTAGTCTATATATTTATGTGTATAGAGTTATTTGTATTATTCCTTCATTGTCCTTTTGCTGACTGCAGGAGCTATAATGTTCGCCTCTGTTTCATTACTGATAGTCATCATTTGTCTTTTTTTTTTGTCTAGCTAGAGATTTATCAATTTTATTGATCTTGTCAAAGAACTATTTTTTTGTTTCATTGATATTCTCTATTTAGTCTTTCTGTTTTCAATTTCATTGATTTCTTATCTTTATTTTTTCCCTCCTGCTTGCTTTGGGTACATTTCTGCTGTTTTTTTAGTTTCTTGAGAAAACTTAGATTATTGATTTGAGATTATTGATTTTGTTGTAATGTAAACATTTAGTGCTATACACTTCATTCTCAGCACTACCATAGCTTTATCCCCAAATTTTGGCATGTTGTATTTGAGTGTCATTCAGTTCAATGAAAATTCTTCTTTGACTCAGGGATTATTTAGAAGTGTGTTGTTTAATTTCAGAGATCTTACATTTATTGGTTCTATTATGGTCAGAGAACATATTCTGTATGATTTTAATTCTTATAAATTTGTTGAGGATTTATTATAGCCCAATATATTATGTTGGTATATGTTTTATAGGCACTTTAAGGAATGTGTAGTCCATTGTTCTTAGGTAGAGTATTCT